CGCTGGAAGGGAGAACCGGAGGCGGCGGCGGTCTTGGGAGGCTGCGGAGCGGTGATCTACCGCGCCTCGGCGCTGCTGCTGCTCCGAGCTAGGGAGCAAAGCGCCAAGAACGGGTTCAGTGCTCCTGAATCCCTGGGAAAGGCCCTTTTCTCTCACTTGACCCCGCTAACGTGTTATTACGGCTGGTTTTCTCAGATCCTGACCCCGGAGAGAAGAAAGCGGATCCTGAGCAGTTCGTAAAGCCCCCGGACGTAACTGCTGTTAGCAGGAAGAACCTCAGTCCCTGTGAGACCCCCGGAGCGGCTACGAGGAAAAGATCCCACGGAAGTCCTAGCCTCAGGAAAAGCCCCCTCGGACCCAGTCCCAAGAGGCTGTCTCCCTGGAGAAGCAGTCCCAGGAAAGACCATACGCTGAGTTCTTTTAACTTGTCCCCGAGACCGCTCGTCACCAGTCCTGAAGCCAAGCGTCGCTCTTGGTGTCGTTCGAGCCTGAAGGGGACAAAACGCCGAAAATCCCTGCCTCCTGTTCACCAAGATGTCACTGGTATGTGCTCCGCTTCTTCCCTTGATCAACGCCTCTCTCTCGAAACTTGTAGGGCAGCCTGCAGCAAGTTGAAATTTAATTCCATGGCACGACCTTCAGGGTAGTGACCGTCTAATTGCCTTATTCCTAACTAGTAGCCACTGACGTCCGTGTCGGCAGTGGTCTCGGAGGTCCAGGTACTTGAGGATAAAAGGAGATGCTGCATTAACGGCTTCTGTAGACCAGTGGTTTGCAGTCTCTGCCTTTTTATTTCCATGGTTGAGCCTTAAGAGTGACTTTTCCTTGTTAGAAACTCTGCTTCTCTCTCTTTTCCCCTGCTCCTTCCATACCCTGCAAACCGCGCTCCTATACAAGAACAGCTTTTAGTGTCTTTCAGGAACATTCCAGCCGTTTGCAGCTCGGTGTGAATTTAATTGTTCTTAAACAATTTTGTTCTGATTTTTCAGAATTAAGCAAATCAATTAGCCTGGATCTGCCGGAGATAGACCGGCTTTCTATGCTGCTGTTGTCCAGTTTCCAGGTAAGGTCCTCTCTTTTAAAAAGTGAATTGGTTTTCTCTTGCCTTTCTTCTACCACTAAATGTACGTTCTGATTTGTATAACCGGGTTGTGAAGTACGTGCGAGGGGGGGAGGGACTCCTTTCTCCTTCCGTAACGAATCTTCCCACAAGCTTTGTCGTGGGGAAGGGCGCCAAGACGTTCTTTTCTACCTTCTCTTAGTTTTCTGCACAGAAGCTCGAACACGTCTTGAAGCAAACTGACGGCTTTAGCCCTGAGGCTTTCAAAGCTAACGGTAAGGTGTGCTGCTGTTTGCGTCAGCAAGGGTAATCCCGAACTGAAAAATACCGACCCTTCCCTAGCATCCTCTCAAAATGAAACTAGCCGTCTTCTAGAAGGGGTGGGTGCAGCCAAAAATACGAGAGTGATGTTTTTAGGATGCTCACATTGTTTTTGGGTGGTCGCAGGGGGGGGGGGGGGGGGGGGGGAAGGCAAATGGGCACACTAAAGTAAACCGTGGCCCCAGAGGTGAGTTATTCTTTCAGAAACACTGTGAGTAATAACTGGAACGCCTTCCGATAAGGAATCGGAGCAGCATCCGCAGGTCGGGAAGCAGCCTCGTTTCTCAGAATTGGTGATTTTCTAGGCAGCGGGTGCGAGCGTTGGTTTATCCTCTTTTGTTTTGTCTTCATCTCCAGCGCACTCGGTTTCAGAAGACCTGAAGCGGTACATGCAGAAGTTGAAACGAGACGGGACGCTGAAGAGCTGCGTAGAAGACCCTAAAGGGTAAGGACTCGCCAAAGTCGTCCCGCGTGGAGTGTAAGCAGTGAGTCGTATCGCTTTTGGGGGCGGCGGGGCTGGAGAAGGGGGTTAGCCTGAACACAAAAGGCATCTGCTGCCACATCGGAGGACCTCGCCCTGCCAGCAGAAACCTTCCTAACCCATTGCGTCAGAATGCTTTGGGGTCGCTTACACGTTTTAATTAGCTGGCTTCCCTCATCCAGGCGACGATAACGGAACCAGCGAGGAAAGGCTGATAACCCGCAGATGTGCCAGCAGATTTTAGGGGGGGGTGGGGTGGGTGAAGCTTTTAAATGGGAGAGAAACCCGCTGTATCATCCCCTTGTACACGTGCAGGATCTGGAGAGGGGAGCGGTTCGTAAGTCAAAGACGGACCGAGTAAGATTTTGCCTGTTAAAACGAACGCATAAATATATATACAAATCACAGGTATATGCACACGGATAACGAGGATCGTGTATTTGGGGGATCGCGTAGCTGGGGTCGTTTAGAGAAGAGAAGCCCCGGGGAGACCTTTGAGCGGCCGCCCGGTCCTTCAGGGGGGGCCTACAGGAAAGATGGGGGGAGCGTAGCGGCAGGAAAGAGGGTGGGTTTAGATCAGGTATTGGGAAGGAATTCTCTACCGTGAGGGTGGCGAGACGGTGGAAGAGGTTGCCCGGAGAAGTTGTGGCTGCCCCCTCCCTGGACAGGAGGGTGTACGGGGCTCCGGGCGCACTGATCTGGTGGAAGGTGCCCCTGCCCGTGGCAGGGGGGGTGGAACGGGATGAGCCCTAAGGTCCCTTCCCACCCAGAGCACTCTTAACCATTCCACGATCCTCTTTTTTCTGCTTTTGCTTTGCGGCCTGCCCAGTCATCTAAATTTGCAGGGTTTTACCCGTTGCCCGTGGCCACGAGGATTTGGGGGGCTGATGCCATCGCTAGACAAGCAGTTCAGTGAACTTTCAGGGGGGCGTCGAGGAGGTCGGGGAGGCTTTCCTCTTTCGTACTCTGCAATTGGAAGCATTCAGCGTGGCTGCGTAAGCGCTGAGCAGGCACCGGCGCCCTCCGCGACATACGCGCGGGACGTATAGATCTCCCTGTGTCGTCCTGACGTCGTTATCTGCGCTTTAGGATTTTACTGGACTCGGCTTTGGATGAGTCAGTGGCCCAGGTGAAGGAGTACATCGCCAGGTAAGGTCGACCGCCTGCGTGAGCTAAAGCTCTCAGCGCCCAGCACGGGTTTGGACACCCCTTCCCAGAGGGTATTTTGGGTGTGTTTAATTCTTCGGCTGGTTTTTCCTACGAGCCTGCGCCGTAGTTGGGCTTTACAGAGGGACACTCCGGGGTACAGACCCGCGCTCTCCTCTCGCCCCGCAGGTTCGCCGCCGAATGTCGGTCCTGGGATCAGCTCTTGCTGCGCTACCAGGAAAGGGCCGAGGGAACGTCCAGGTCTGG